AAAGTGTAAATAAAGACATAAAGAAAAATAGCCCATCCGAGCATTTCCCTTCTACTATCTCATTTGAGCCTCAAAAAGTCTCACAAAGGAAATATAACAGTCATTGATAGCCCCATTTTATAGGTTAGGAAACTACGTTTCAGGGACGTTAAAGACCTTCCTCAGATCGCAAAGAGAGTTAGTGTCACAGCCAAAAGCAGAGCCAGACATTTTTCTGAACTCCAAACTCATACTTCTTCCTTCCACCTGCTGGAAAAAGCTTTCTGTCCCCAGGAGCCTCTCAAGCCAGCCTCCAACTCCTGTGAAAATCCCTGAGCAAGCTCTCCCTCAGTCCCCAGGCCATCCCCGGGCCCACATGTGCCCTGCTGGGCCCCGTGCTCCCCACCTGGAAGAGCTCCTGAAGCTGAGCATTCACCCACTGCTCCATCTCCATCCAGCGCTGGAGCTGCCCCATGTCGTACTTCACCGTCAGTCGGCTGGGTCTGCGGGACCTGGGCACCTTGGAGAGGTCAGGGTGGGACTTGGACTCGGAGTCTGTGGATGATGTCCTCCTCCTCCCAGAAGCCCACTGAATCTTCTTACTTGGATTCTCCCTGTCCGAGTTGGGAGATGTGCAGGAAGCAGGGCTTGAAGACAGCATGGAAGGATTGGCCTGGGCAAGGATCTGGGGAAAAGTGCCAGTCAGAGCACAGGCACAGAGAGAAGTGAGAGATGGAGAACAGAGGAGAGGCTAGCCAGGAAGAAAGAAAGGCAGGAGGAGGGCCAAGGCTCCCAGGGAGGGGTGAGGGTCAAAGATCAATAGGGCTTTGGTGCTGGGAATACCAATCTGGCTCCTCTCTACCAGCCAGCAAGCGGCACTCCAGAGCCATGCCCAGCCTTCTTTTCTGCAGCTACTAAACTCTAAGGGACATAAACTGCAAATGAGCAAAGATCAAGAGGCTGCCCTGCCCTGGAAGAGGAAGGGCCTCTTGGGTCCTAAGGGGTACAGGACTCTGATCAGTACTCTGTGGCCATCTCTGGAATGGGATCTGAGGTCACTCTCACCTGATCCCTCCGTATCCTCCCTTCCTAGGACTAGATGCACTCTGGCCCCAGAAAAACCATGGCCAGACAGATCCCACAGGAACAGGTCCCTGACTGGCAGAAGCTCCTGCTAAGAGTGCGGCCCTGCTGGGGTAGAGTCTCAGCTGGTGGATGGAGTTGTACGGTAATTATCCATGGTCATCGTGAGATCAGTAGCCCCCTCATGTCTGGGTGTGTCCGAATATGAGCGTCTATCAGGCTGGCCCTGTGTGTTTGTAAAGGCAAATTTATCAAGACTCTTGTCTAGGCTAGGCACAGTGGCTCACACCTGTCTTCCTAGCATACTGGGAGACCAAAGTGGGAGGATCCTTTAAGCTCAGGAATTCAAGACCAGCTTGAGCAAGGGTGAGACCCTGTCTCTCCTAAAAAACAGAAAAATTAGGCCAGGAGAGGTGGCTCACACCTGTAATCCTAGCATTCTGGGAGGCTGAAGCAGGTGGATTGCCCTGAGCTCAGGAGTTCGGCACTAGCCTGAGCAAGAACAAGACCCGGTCTCTACTGGAGAAAAGAAAGAAAGATAGAAACAAACAAAAGAAAAAGTAGCCAGGCATTGTGGTAGGCACCTGTAGTCCCAGCTACGCAAGAGGCTGAAAGAAGAGGATCACTTGAGCACAGAAGTTAAAGGTTGCTGTGAGATATGACACCTGGCACTCTAACCTGGGCAACAGAGTGAGACTCTTATCTAAGGAAAAAAAAAAAGACCCTGTTCAACCTGCCTGTTTGTTTCCCTAAGGTAACTGCTTAGGAGCCACATTTATTATCACGTGAGTCCCACCCCTAGCCCTACTCCCAGCCCCATTCAGGTACTTTCTGACACAGATGAAATCCACAGACCTAACTTAAACCCAGGTGTCAAAAACTAACACTTCTAGACATACTTGCATTCTAAAGGTAGGCTCTTTTTGTTCCTTCAGTCCTTTGTAAGAAAAATTTCTAAACTTTTTTTAAAGTTACAGAATAGAACACTAATTTTTTAAAAACAGCTCAGAAGGGCAAACAAAGGAAAAATGATGGTTTCTCCCTTCTTCCCACTGGTAAGAACTCATCAACAGCTTCTGCTTTTAGTTTTCCTGTGATTGCCGTTATCCCTTTATGCAGTAAGTTTCTGGATTTGGGTTTGGCGCCCGTGGCTCAAGTGGCTAAGGTGCCAGCCACATACACCCGAGCTGGCGGGTTCGAATCCAGCCAGGGCCCACCAAACAACAATGACAGCTGCAACCAAAAAATAGCCAGCATTGTGGTGGGCACCTGTAGTCCTAGCTACTTGGGAGGTGGAGGCAGGAGACTCG